CGGTGAGGAAACTGCCATTAAAGTCTTATCTCATGAGATCAGGCTTTCTTATGCGACAATTAACGTACTGTCTTCCTGCCGGCAGCAAAAGGGCTCTCGTTAAAATATGTAGGGTCTCACTACGTCCCCAGCCACCCTCTTTCAGACAGGAACTGTCCGCGACGGGAGTGGTGGGGGCTGATGTCAGGGTTCACCCAGCAGATGCGTGGGGGAGAAAGCAGTGACTTATGCTGGGGTGCAGCTGCTTCTCTGGGACCCTTTTTTCTGTGCCCCAGACAGACCTGACCTGACTGTCCAGGCCCGCCAGTCATGGCTGAGGGTTATGTTGTGGCGTCAGCCACTGGCACATTCCTTGACACCGTGAAGCTGTGATCGCCACCCTCCTCCTCACTTCCTTTTTTCTCTCCTGGAGGAGTCTGTCTCAGTTTAGTCCGGTTCAGATGATACGGGGAAGATTTGCTGCTGCCCAGCATGGAGACATGGCTGGATGCTTCCCCAAAGCCAAGTTTTGTCCTTAATCTGTTTATTAATAGGCACTGCTTTTATGAGCGCCGACCCAGCCGTGTTGGGTTAGCTGAGTTTCCTCCAGCAGCAGCCACAGAGGTGCCCAGCAAAGAGTAGGAACCCTGAATAAACATATAGTGACTTCTCCAGTTTATTATCCCAGCTTCCAGTGATCTCTGGTTCACAAGTTTCTTGTGACCGATGTAGTGTCTTTTTTATTTCATTTGCAGTTTACTGTAGTTTGTATTTAATTTGCCTCAGTACTTCACAGCAGAAAGATGGCATTGGAGAGCAAGGCTTGTAGTCACTGAAAAGCTTGAGCGGGCTTGTCTGTTCGAGTGCTTCAGGAGGGCTACATCCTCCATAGTGTCCTTCTGCATGGAGAGTTGGACCTTTAAGAAAAGAAGTGCCTGGCTAACTCATCCTTACTCATTGGATGTATCTTGTTGGACCGTGTATGACCCTGGTTGTGCCTGAACAGTCTGGGCTGCAGGTAGGTAGGTGAGTGCTTCAGACAGTGCTGGGAAGTAAAGCAATTCCAAGCTTTTTTTTCCCATCCCCTGTGTTTGACTCCAAACCCATGCCCAGACATTAATTTGTGTCCAGTGTAGATGGTAGGCAAGCTTGTGCCCACTCTTCAAAAACAGCATAGAAGTAGTTATGATGTCCTGCTTGTCATCAGATCCAGTTATGGGCTGATTTCTTTGCCTTCTGCTACAGCTTCCTCCTAATCACAGAGAGTAGATGAGGATGGTAGTTGGTCATGCTATTGCCTGGCACAGGTTGTACCCAGTCATTCTTCAATCCCCACAGCCCACAGCTGGCAACCTGTGTAAATAAACAGAGGGACCTGAGAGTTGCAACTCATACCTCTACCAACCTTTCTAAGTCTGCACATTTCGTGAGAATAAGTTTTTCTTTTGAATGTTTATGGTTCATTCAATTTGCATTTATTCAAAGAATGATTATCCTATGTTATTGCTGTTCCAAACCTGGCCCAGGATGTGAAAGTCCACAAGACTGAAAATAATGACGAAAATCAGGCAATGAATTTCAACGGTGCAAAGCGTTTAGGGAAACAGCTTGTAGAAGGATTGCTTCTTGGTACAGTGAAGTCAGTGGTAGTTCTGTTACCGACCTTCAGCAGGGGCAGGATTTCATCTCTGGGGCTTAGAAGAGGCTTAAAATTCAGAAAAGTTTTCTTGCGGCCTTCACTGAAGGTCACCACTTACAAGATTTCTGGTAACATGATCTTCATATCTTTACTGTAATCTTTCCACCCCAATATGAAGTTAACCAGGAATGACAGAAAGCTGTGAATTGGGAGCAGAAAATTAGGTGATGAGTCTGAAACAGAGTGGCCTCACTTCTCCAGCCTAAACCAGACACAGGGCCTCTCTCCATTCAGCTGTAACTACAGAGGGAAACTGAGTGACTCACTTAGCTCCATTGCTAACTTCTAAAAAGTTGAAGTGAAATGTAATGAATCCCCTCCTAGTGTAAGAATCACTTTTTTCTTGTTGTTTTTGCTAATAAAATAATATTGCTCACTACTGTTTCCTACTCTGTAGCAGCTACTGATGATGCATGTGCATGACTTGAGACTGGAACCATGCCCACCTCTTTGGAAGTGTTAGCTGTTTTCTGCATTTTTTTCCCTGTCCAGTGGATGTTTTTACTTTAGAGAATTGTATAGAACTGTAGCACAAGAGCATCATTTTGACAAGTTCAGTCCTGCTTCTGTAAAAGAAAAGTGCAAAGCTTAATGTCCCATGCTAGTCCTAAAATGGGTAGGCAGACAACATGCTTCATTTTGAACAATGATGTGGGTGAAGTTGATGGAGAAAATCTGACATGGGATAATAAAATGAATAAATGAGATGATAGACCTTTGTCCACTGGAATCTGTGAGGAAGCAGAGGCGGGAAGCAGGTTCAGATGCAAACTTCATGTTAATTTTTTTGCCAGATGAGGATTCTCCATCCATTTCACCTGCCCTGGAAAGTCAAGGCACAGATGGGCCCTAGCAAATGAGCAGTGCAAATGTTTGACCATTTGTTGTTTTGTTTTTGTAGCCTGTCTCTGACAGGGTGTGTTGATTTGCAGGCTGAGAAGGAGGTCTGACTTCTGTTTGAATGTGTTGTGGTTCCTGCACCGGGCCCAGGAGCAGTGGAAGGCAGAGGCTGTCTGAGAGTCTGTGAGGATACTTGGCTGTAAGGGGAGGTCTGCAGAATGTTCTGTATCAGGGGCATGAGCCCTGGGGACCCTACAGCATGGGCCCCCCAACCCCTCACACCTGGGTGGTTCATCATTGCATTGTACCAGCTTAGGGAAAGGCCATTGCAGAGGTAATGAGGCCAGTGTTTTTGCTAAGGGTGTAAGAAACTTTGAAGTTGCAATGAAAAACAGAGGGGTGGGACACACAGGGGAAGATTTCCTGGACTTTTCTCATCTGTAAACATGAAAGTGCAGGGTCTCGATGTCCTTACTGGTAACCTGAGCGAGTTACCAAACAAACTGTGTTTTCCCAGCAAATGTGTGCTGCCCACTGGAATTGGTATCTCTGGATGATTTCCCTCTTAGCTGTAGGCTTGGAATTAGTTTAGTGTGATTTAAGGTCTTCTGGGTTCATTGGGCCTGGTTTTCTTAATTTGTTTAGGAGTTTTTGCCAATGTGAAAGAAAGAGCAACTTCATAGCCTTCCTTTCCCAGGGGCATTTTATTTATTAAGCTTTTGATCTCCCAAACACACCTCTGGTGTGTGCTTGTCCAGTGTGTACCATCCTGTGTTCAAGAAAGACCTCTCAGGTTGGTGGTTCACAAAACCACTGCTCTCTCCTTACACAGCCCTCTGGGAAGACGCGGGCCAGCATTTGCAGACTTGCATCTTTGTGTGTGTTGGTCCTAATTGAGGGAAGCATCTTTGTGCAGGGAAGTTCTTAAGATATGAAGTCCCATTGTCATAAACACTTAACCTGGATTTGTCACATGCCTTCATGCTGTCCAGACTGGAGGTGGCTTTAAGTAGAAGCTTATGGGCTTTTCTATAATGACGCTTGAGTACTCAAATGCATGCTACCTAAACAAAAATTAGATGAGCAAGTCACATCGGTGCCAGGAAATATTGGCCTTTTTTTTATTAATGTTCACAATTTGAGAGACCATACTTCAAAAACATAATTACCTTCCTCTTGGTCTCTCAGTCCTGCCTCTCTTTTAAGGTTTAATCCTTGAACCTGTCAAGACAGATACACAGACTTTCTGTCTCTATCCATTGTACAACTAAGCTAGTGTTGATTGAAGATGGAGTAGTAGTCCTGGTCAAGAATGAAACAGTTAAAGTGAAAAACTTTCAAACTTTATCTGTCATTTTAAAATCTACATTTCAGAATCCCGATGCATTTAGACCAGCTGCAGTAATGAGAGTTAATTATTTGCAACACCCCTCTCAGCACCTAGAGTAGAGCCTCACTTTCTATTGCCTTATGGTCCTTCTGTGCCAAAAGACTTTGTGTCCCAGTTACATCCAAAACACTGCACCCTCTTTTCCTCCTTCCCTCAGCTGTTTATTTATTCCTACGTCTCCTCACTTCTCTCCAGCCTGAGCCACCACCATGTACTCTTCATCCATGTCTCTGTCTGACACTCGGTGTTTGCCATCCAACCTCCACACTTCAGTGCTTTGAGTTCAAGTTCGGAGTTACTTGAGGCTCCCAACAAAACATGAAGAGGAAGTATTTTCATGTAGGTGAAATGATTTGTTTCTCTGCTCTGAAAAATGAACTATTTTAATTACACCTTCCCCTGTGCTGGACTCATGACCATTCCTAAACATCTGGCACTAATGACTAGTGTTAGTGAAAATGAGAAACAAATGAGAACAGGATACTTAATATGAAAAGTCAGGGAGACATAACCATGAGGTGCTGTCAGCTGGCTCTGTGTATTGTGTGCAGAGCTGGGATTAACCCCACTGAACATTCAGGATCTAAAAGCTATGCATCTGAACTGCCTCAACAGGCTGCGGGGAGAGACGATCGATGATTCACCCCATCCAGAGCTAGACATCCATGGTGGGATAGACAAAGCACCCCCTGAAGGTGCTGGTCTTTCTCTAGTGATTATACAAGTTGATAGACGAGTGTGACCAGTCTCCCATTTTAAACACATAAAGTTCAGTGGAGTGAATATAATTCTGTGCATATATACACACCTGCCTACACATGCGGTGTATAGGTCTACGTATACATGTCTGTGCATCTGTTTTTTTATAAATATTTCTGTATTAATGCAACACACAGCTCTCAGTGCATATTACAAGTACCTGCGCGGTTGTATAAGCATATGCATGTATTCCATGAAGCCTTCAAGCTGTCATATAGTCCCACGGAGCTGTTTCCAGTTCACGTAACTTTAAGCAATGAACCCCTGCCTGTGCCTGGTGCTGTTTGCTTCAAATGCTGCGTACGGCATGCAGCAGCCTGCCTGCAGATGAGCTGGTGCTGTGTGAGTACCTGGCCATCCCCCGCACCGAGGGCTGCTTGCTCACACCCTGCCTGACATTACAGCTTTTCAATAGCCTTTTGAATCATATGTTCCATGAGGCTGTCTGAGACCTGTAATATACAGAGACAGACATCGTTACAGGCTGAAATAACACATGAAAGCATATCTCCTAAGGAGCGTGTGAGGTCTGAGCAGTGCACATCTGCCTTTGCATGCTGAGCAAGGAAACATGCTATTACTGATAATACTTGGTGGTTGTGCAAGGCTGAATTCTGCTCACTGGCACTTTTTCTCTCTCACCTTTCCTATGCAAATTCCTTGCTGTTTCTGGATGCTTGCTGTTTGTAGCTGTGTGCATTTACCTCTGGTTTCCACATCCTGGGAAGCACGTCACTTCTTTGTCCTTTCCATCCTTTCACCATCTGTTTTCCTCTTTTTCTTACCCTTCTTTCCTTGACCCTACAGTCTTTCCTTCAGGGTTGCAGCTGTGCCCTGGCACTGTCTTGCTGGAAATGCCAGAAACTTTCATTTTCCCCTTGCAGAGTGACAGTGGTGTCCCTCATCTCCTCAATGCACTTTTTGTTTGCTCACTGGAATCACACTGAACTTGGCTTCCTCCTGGGTGGACATTGTGTGTTTGCTGAAGGGACGTTTGTTTCTCAAAAAAGCGTTGCTGCTCCCTGCCATTGTCCAAAATCAATAGACTGACTCTGCCCGGTTTTACATCCTTGTTTGCACTTTCTTACCCTTTCTTAGCATTTATTACCCCTTCTGAAGGTTTTGCTCCTTAACAAGAACATGTAAAAATTGACTGGCTGCAGACTTACACCTGAGCTCTTGAGAAAAACATGCAATGGCAAGTTACTACTGGGTGGATTTCATTCCACCTCTGTGTACAGGGCTGAAAATTGCAGTACTCTGGGAGGTGATTCAGAAGCAGGAGAACCTGCCCTGCCCCAGGGCTGCTGTGTCCGTGGGGTGGGGAAGGTGGATGACTGAGTGTGGAGATGGCTTTGGTTGATTTCTATCCACTGCTTGCGAAAGCGTGGAGTCATGGAGGTGCTTTTCAATTACCCCCCTTCAGCCCAGCAGGACCACAGTGCTCCTGGAGATTTCCAGGCAGCAGGCCACTGATTCAGGGAGTTCAGATTTTCTATAGCTCCCCTGGATTTAGAAACACAAATCTCCACAGCAGCTTGGTAGGATTTGTGTTCCTCCATCACGGAAAACCCACTCTGTGCTCCAGCTCAGTATTGACACCTGTAGCCTGTTTTTTTGGGAAGGGTGAACGCCTGTAAGGAAGCAGTGACTCTTTGAGAAGATGTCTGATGTCCAGGACCCCCTGCTGATAAGTATAACTTGCCTATTTGTGTTTTTCTAGTAATGATATGTATCATTTCCAGTGCTTGCTCTTGCCCCATTGACCGCACAAGATCAAGGCCTTTGAGATTTCAAAACACACTGTAGATATTGAATATCTGAGCCTCATAACCTTTCTGCCAATTAGGTAAGTGTTATTGCTCAGCATTGTAAATGGGTAGCTGAAGATATATCCCTGCTGAATTTGATGGAAAGAGGTTAAGTAACCTGTGGGAACCAAGAAGGGCGTTAGTAATAGAACCACCACTAAATCTCAGCCCCGTCCATTGCTGGTTAGACAGCATTGCTCCTCTGCGTAAGTCTGTCTCCTGCTTGAGATGCAGATGAATAAAACATTCTTTAATGTTGTTTGTGTCCTTGTTAGCCTGTGCTTGTGAGCGAGGCATTTCTCTTTCTCTTTCAACATTCCATGATTGTTACTGTTCCTGGGCAGTTCCTGACCTCCCCATGTTATTCTTGAATTGCCAACTGGATGCATGCATCTATGCACACTAGGAATAAGGGTAAAGAGCTCACACCTTTGCTACACTTTTAGTCAAGATTGAGTGGATAGCGATTGGGGATCAGGGCACTGAGTTTTCCACCTGTTATGTTTCACCCTGTGTTAGTGCAGCAACCAGAAGTGTTCTTTATGCATGCCCTGGCACTTGGACCTTCCAGGCAGTTGCTCTGCATCTGATGCTGTTTCCTTATTGCCAGGTATCTTTTTCTGCTCTGTAGTGCAGTTGCACATGACCAAAGGCCAGGGCCTCATTCTTCACAAGCCTGCTGATATCAAATGGATTTTCCTTGTGTTCTTGTAACATCCTTCCACCAAGGAAAGGAGAGCTGTAGGTCTGGAAGCACTTGGCTTTGAATTTCAGGCCACCTCAAAACAAGACCCCATCATCTAATACTGGAGACCTGCATTTTCAGAGCAGGATTTTTTAATTTTTTGACTGTTTTCTTTCATGTCCTCAAGCAGAAGTGCTCTTGGAAACAAATCTGTTCACTTCTAAAGCCTGATTAAAACCAACCGTGAGGGTAATCAGCTGCCCTGTCCTGCCTTTGTGCTTTGGCTGGGCCTTCTGGTGTGTCTGACCAAGGTCGATCAGATGTCTCATGGGTTAGTATAATCACTTCACCTTAATGCACCTTCATTTAGCTCTGGTGCAGTTTTTCATCCGTCTTTCAAGGTTGTTTGTCCTACTTTCAACTAGCAGAAGAGCCAGGCAATCTCATTTTGTCAAACAGGTTTACAGCACCTCTAAGTAGCTTGGTCTATATTTAACCCGTGGACTATTGTCAATGTGACAGCACAGGAGGAGGTGAAATCCAGCCTATTTTCCTCTCCTACTGGTCATTTCTGGAGGCAATCTCAGAATCATGTAAGTTGGAGCTGCTGTCCCATCTCTGTGGGCTGGAGATGGCTCTTTCGCCTCTTTTGGTACAGTCAGGCTCTAGAGTCCGAACACAAATTCATAGCACCTTTCTGCCTTGTATGCTTGTCTCATTGGTTTGAAGTTCTTTCTAGTAAACTTCAACATAATGTGGTTACTTCCCAAATTTTATATAACTACTGCTGAATGTGACAAGTGCTGTGTGGCTGTGCCTTGCAGTGTGTATGGATGTTGTTAGCCAAGATGCGCTGCTGTGAAGCCTTCTTCATGCAGAAATAGCCTCTCTGCCTTTTTTTTTTCCAGATGGTTAATCAAACTTCCTTTCCTGTTAATTTAGGAGCAAATTGTTGTTTGCTTTTGGTTTGATTTTTACTTTTTTTCTTTTTTTTTAGCAAACTCTGCTTTTTCTGTTGACTGTACTTAATGGGAAGTTTTATGGAGCACATTAATCTGTTGTATTAGTGCGTGTTGAGTCTGTAGATTTTCACTGCATTGACTTAAAACCCGTAAGCCGTAACCATATAGTTTGAGGTGCTGTGCAAACACATCACAGAGACTGTCCCAGCCACAAAGCACTTATCTACTCAGTGTTATGGTTTTGCACACCTGGACCACATTCTGCTCTTGTACACATGGCAAAAAAATTACATTTGCTGACTCTAGATACCCTTGCTTGTCTAAATTCATTGAATCCTACTTGGCATTTGCAGTCAAGACATGCTGTTTTCTTTCTTAGGTAAAGTAGCCAAGCGTGATGCTTTCCTTTTGTATTCCCTTCTTCTTGCCAGGACTGTTTCACCTGCTCTTGCTTGGTAGCTTAGCTGTTTGAGATAATTTTTTGAACTTGACTTTTCTAAGTGCTTCTCCCTCCCTGTTTTTTTCTTTTTTTGTAGGCACTGGTTCGGCTTCCTCCTCACATTTCACAGTGCGATGAAGTCTTCAGGTTCTTCGAGGCTCGCCCAGAAGACCTTAACCCTCCAAAAGAGTAAGTGCTGTGATGGATTTCCAGTGCTGCTAAGTTCTTTTTGATTAGCTGGAAGGAAAGGTTTTATTACTGCTGTATGTGTGGGAACAGAAATTTGTAGATTTCAAGTGCTACCTAGAAAATACACTGCAATTATGTACAGCCACTTCAGGTGTGTGAAGGACAGGGGAGTCAAACATTATCCTCAGACACAATTTTCAGCCATCCTCCGCCCACCTTTGCATTGTTTCTTGCTGATGGTTCTAATGAGGGAACCTCCCCTGGCTTGTGGGTTTTACCTGGTAATTATCACCAAAGAGTCATTTGGTTCCCAAAAGCATTTGCTTAGCAGCAAGGGGAAATCCTGCCAGTAAGCACTTGGCTCATAATTACCAGCTGCTTCTTTAAATGTACTCCTGCCCAGAGATACTTAGTTATCTGAAGGGAGCAAGATTGTGGTCTGGATCCAAAATTGTCTCTGGAGAGTCTATTCTTTCTAAGCAGGAAGCCAAGAAAACGCTGGGAAAAAGAGTTCCCATTGAACACGAAACAGAATTGTAGCCTTTACCTTGGAGCAGGCAGGCTGATTCATGCTGATGCAGTCAGGGTTCAGAGGACTAATTTATCCAGGGAAAACATTGGCAGGAGGGTATTTACAAGCAACTGTGTTGCCTCGCCTCATATTTCCTTTTCTCCTTCATCCTGAACAGGATATATTTGATTGTGTGCCACAATAAGATTTTGACTTGGTCCCATTGTGTTTTGTGCTGCTTTGTTGCAGGATTTGAGACTTGATTGCAGTCTGTATTACCGTAATTTGCGATCTCCAGTGTTTGCACAGCCCCCTGGGTAAGGGGAAATGGATGTAAAGCTTTTGGGTTTCGGGCAGTTCAGTGCATGCAAACCTGTAGTTAGTGCAAAGATTTGTATTGGCTTCAGCTGTCTGTTCCCTTGCTGGTGTAGAGGAGAGGACCTCTGCAGTTTGATTTCCCAAACTTAGTCTCTTGCACGTACATGGTTTTGTACAAGGGGATGTATTAGCATTTGTACAAAAGAAAACATTGTGACTGTATCTGAGAGCGAAGTCTTTTGTTTTTTGAATGAGAAAAAGAGCAGGCTTGAAATCAAAGCTCTGGAAAAAGCTCCTGGTTTGTTTTTTTTTTTTTTTTTTTTCTAGCCAGTCTTGTTTTAGAAAAATGTCAGAGGTGAATAAATGCAGTTGCACGTTCGTTGTTAAACACATATTGCAAACTTAGAAACCTTTGCAGCAGAATATGCCTATACTCTGAGACCTGCTGACCATCACAGTTTCCACTTACGGTCTGTAAGAAGGTTTGCAAATGTTGCTTGGTCCCACAACATCCCTCTGATGCATGGAGACATTCCCGTGTCCCAGGCAGAAACAGACACCCAGAAGAGGAGGGAGGTCCCCAGGGTTATGGGAGAATTCACCCGTAGTATCTCAAATGGACCCCAGGAGTCTGCTTTAAACATTGGTTAACACTTCTGTCTGCTTTCTGTACTGATACGGAGCCTACAGCATTAGGGCTCAGTAAAACAATGTCATGATTGGACCTCTGCAAAGCAGGAGTGGGAACTGAGGTCCACCCTGGGGCTGGCACAAGCCATCATGGCTTTATTTCTCTTTTCCACTGTGCAAATTGTTGAGGGCCTTTCGCTGGGCTCCCTGTTTGACGGCTTTGCAACAATTTTCAGGTTACCTATTCGCTCCCCCCAGGAAAACAAAAAAAGACTAAATTTTCTCAGCCCAAGCCCTGCATCTTATTCCAACCTAGTAATAAGTGTGATTTGTTTCCCTGGAAAATGTAGAGCAATAACCTGATTAAATCTCACTTCACTAATGTCTGCAAGACATTAATCTAGCTGGGTTTATACAAATCCTACCTCATCTTCTGTAAGCAAACAGATCTTGGGGAAGGTGTCTAAAGTTTCTGCTGGGAGTGCTTCACAAAAGATGTATTGTTGAAACTGAAGATTAGTCTCCACAAAAAGATGATGTAAAAGCCAATGGAAACATCTTAGTGTTTTTCTTCTGTGAACTGAGGGGGAAGGGAGGAGGTCTGGCACTCGCTGGACCACTGTGTAGGGTCTGGGGGAAGGACACCTCCAGGGCGATTCTCAGCCTCAGCAGTTACTGCAGGAAGGAGCTCCATCAGCCAAAGAAATCCTCGATTTCTTCCCTCATTTGCTACTCTGCCAAGCCCCTCCAGAAATAGTGAGCCAGTGGTACTCAAGCCCTAGGAATTCCCCTGGACACCATGGTCCATCATTCATCTCACTGGGGATAGTAGGGATGTGGCCTGGGGGAAGCATCTAGACTACCCTTATTGTTTTATCTGTTTCTTCAGCTGCTTCTTTTAGCCCTTGGTGCACAGGTGGTTTTAATATTGATATATCAGCATAGACATGGCATTCAGCTGCCTGGGTTAAAGAACAAATATTGCCAAGCGAGGGACTCAGCTACCAAGGGATGGCAGAATGGGGTTGCTTGTGCTGCCTTCATGTCTCCTCTCTGTGCACAATGAGATGATCTTTAGTTTCACAATCACTTGCTCTGTTTTTCTGCAGCAGCTCAGCCTCATAAGACAAAGCCTGACCTAGAGTTTAATTAACTGCTTTTCAGGAGTGTAGCCTTAATCCCAGGGGCATTTGGGTTGCTGAGCCCAGAGCGTCCACTGAGTTTTTGTGTGTCTGCAGAGCAGTGACCGAGCACGTGCTCCCAGCCAGAAAAACACGGAAACTTAAATTTTAAGGGAGGAGGCACAAAAAGGCCTGGTTTATCTTGCAGCTGGGATGTGCAGAGGTATCCATGCCCTTAATTGCTGGGGTATGACTCGTGATGATGCACATGTAGTAATTCATGTATCACTGCAGTAATTCAGCTGCAAAGCTGTGCCCTTCACTTCTGTTCCTATTGTCCTAAAATAAACTGGCGTTTCCCTGAAGGCACTCTTACAAATGTGTACCAGCTTCTTCCTCGTAACTCTTCCTCTGCCCTACCCTTGCCTCCTCCTTGCTTCTGCGTACTGTCCTCCCCGGGTTATGCCGTGTTTGGCTTGCAGGCTGCTCCCTACAGGGTCATTTCCTACTGCTGCTGTGCTCTGATTGCCCACAGTGCTGAGCAGCACGCAATCCAGCTGTAATAAAACATGGGCTTTCCTAACACTGTTATAATCCGGCCAATTTGTTCAGTTGGATTCGCAGCTTAGGTTTTCTGTTTCCTGTTTTGGGGATGGTCCAGGCTTTCCAGTCCTGTGACAATAAGCAGAAGGTATTCCATTCAGCCCCATTAAACCTCTTCTGTGCACAGCAGCTTGCAGGCAGATAGCTGGAGAGATGTCACAAGAAATCCCAGCATTTGAACTGGCTGACAGTCTCCTCTGAGTCTGCTCCTGCCAGTGGAGCTAGCTCCAGGTCAGGTAGACCCTAACAGCAGGTTTCCTTCATACTGTGTGGGAGAGACCATAGGAGAACACTAAATCCCTCCATGGGATAGTCTGGGAGCTCTCTTGGACTGTTTCACCTGGTGAAAGCATGTCCTTTGCAAAGGAGCTGGCACACATTTGGAGCACTGATGTGCAAGGCAGGGCTTGGAGCCCCAGTGCCTGAGTTACAGAGGGCAGCTGCTTCTGCTGTTCTCTCTTCACTCCGCTGACTAGCTGCAGAGAAAGGAAACTTCAAACCATAAACTCTGGTACAGGAGGAGCAGTTTTCAACTGCTTAGGTTTGTATTATGTGGACTTTTAGTGTTCGATCAAATGCATGCATTTGTAGGCAAATGGCTGGGCTTGTGTCTTTTACTGTGCCCATGTTAAGGACCAGATCCTGCATTGCTATGGGGAAAGATACTGTAAGGTAAGAAGGAAGTGCATTTTTATTTTTCCATTATTTTAAGTTAGAACACCATGTCACTGAAAGCCATTCATTTACTGGATACTTCTGTTAGTAATTATAATTACTGATAACTAAGCCAGAGGTGGATTAATTTCAGACTTCTACTGGGGATTTAAATTCAAGGCTGAGGTCAGGCCAGGGCTCATAGTCAACAAACAAAATCTCAGAAACCATTTTTTTAATTATTCTTTTCTACTAGAAATAACAGAAATACCCAAAGAGTAGGATTAATCAATTAGAATTGCATATGGTCCACTGCTTTTAGGGCTTTTTTGCAGTTAGGTTCAAAATACCACAGACAGACCACATGTGAGAGTTCACTTTTTCTTTCTGGGTCTGGATCCAGCCTAAAAAGCTGGCCAACAGCCAAGAATTCAGTTCTCCAATGCTCCCCCTGCAGAAATGCATACAGGCTCAAACATGATTTCTGTTTAAACTGCCACTAACAATATGAACAACTGATTTTAAAGCAGTGTTTAGTGTCTGATAATACTTTTCCTGTAAGAATCATAAAGCAATTTTCAAACAATATGTAAATCCATGAAAACTAGGGCACTTATTAGGTATATGACATAATATCATGAGGGCTGATGCAGAAAATGCACTTATTGCTGAAAGTGCCTTTACTGAAGAACGGAAATGCTGTATTGTGATCTGTAGCCATGATCTTTACTGATAATATCTCTATCACATAAATACTGGTGTAACACTAAGATACTCGGATGCCAGGCAGCCACTGTAAAGTGAAAGATGGATTATCCTTTATTCTTCACATATAAGAGATTTCTGATAAAGAATCTGGAAAGAAGTTTCCAGGGCAATGCAGCAACCATGTTAAGGAAGTCTGCTTTAGTTGAGTCTACCAGTCTACTTTTTTCTGTCCATTAGCATGACTGTGTTTACATACAACTATTTCTGTTTCCCAAATTTACTCTGATCTGCCCTGTAATAACAATTTAATTACCTATTGGTAGAGGAGGAAAATTTTTCATCTCTAAAATATCTAAATTTATTCTGATTTGTCTGATATTATGCAAATATTTTATCTTATATTTCATCCCTTTAGAATTGTGTTTCCAACACATTTGGTAGTTGAGTCTCCAAGC